TTCAGAGAACTTTTTCCAGACATTGTGATCTATAAGCCAAGTCTCAGGTCAAGGTATAAAGCACAACACAGGAAATAAACTATGTAAATGAATGACACACCACATAACCACAGAGAGTGTTTAGAGAAGTGTGTCTGAACATGGCAGCTCAGGCATTACATTTAGGAGTGGATACAGATGGGTATAAGGGTAGAGTCTCTGCTCAGTGATCCTGGCAAGTACAGACAAAAGCTATGGCCTTGTTCATTTGAACTATGGGAAGGTGTTGGTAGGGTATAGTATGCCCAGACCTTTTTTTTTTTTTTGTTTTCGCTTTTGTTTTTGTTTTTGTTTTTCGAGACACGGTTTCTCTGTATTGCTTTGGAACCTGTCCTGGATCTCGCTCTGTAGACCTCACAGAGATCTGCCTGCCTCTGCCTCCCAAGTGCTTAAAGACGTGTACCACCAACACCCAGCATGACCAGACTTTTTAAAGCACTGTTTCCTCTAATGAAATTCCTAATATGAAGGTTTCTCATATACGATGGTTACAAATGTACCTCAAAATAATGTGCAAATAACAGAAAATAACTCAACAGTATAACAGTGCCATTAACACATAAAGAGAATAGAAAAGTCAGGAAAACTCTAACTACAAAACACAAATTTTAACAAAACAGAAGAATTATTATAAGTGCATATAGAACTTCTAGTAGAATTATAAACTTGTATGGTCCCAGTGGTGCAGAATGAAAGTACATGAGTTCAAAATTAGTTCACACATATTTCAATATGTACTAATGGCCACAGGTCACCTGCAAGATTTAATGAATGGTTAAGACTTGCCTTGTGCAGGAAGCATGATCTGGGAAAGATAGGGCACTATTCTGACTCAGTTAAAAGATCCCCCCATGTTCCTTCCTCATCAAGATAACTGTGACATGTCACTTTGTGTGTCAGAGACATACTCATCTTACTGACTACTTTTTAAAAAGCAATACAGAGATTATGAATGCTACCACTCACATTTTGAAAACACATTCACAACATATGGCACAAACTGATTTTCTCATCCTCTCAAATGAGCATTCCAGGTCTTTATCTTTCATTCTCTAAGCAGCATCGAGCCTTTTGAGCATTATTTAAAACTTCAAAATGGGCTACTTGGGGCTCCACCACCTAATTTAGGAAAACATTTCACCTTGTACTTCACTTGTGGTATGATTCGATACAACTATAAACTCAGCAGTTCAATTTTGTATTTAACATCTACTAAGATTCTAGAAATGTTTTCACACAGATATTCTTCTGTCAGCTTGCTTAAGAAGATAGTATTCTCAGACAAAAAAAAAACTTACCTGGTGTACACAAATATCTGTGAAATTAACCAATTGTGTAAGCCTAGTCATTCTGCAAACAAGAGTCATGTCTGAAATATTACACAGGTTCCAGTAGTCTGGGTCAGCTTTTGCAAAATTATGATGCAATAATAAGTACCATAAAATTCCTAGTTGACTATAATAAAGAAGGCTCTCTTCTCATTCATGATATATGACAACTGAGGTCAGTTTCAACTCTGTTCCATGTCGTAGTTCTGGCATTAGGCTAAAAGAGCAGATTTCTTCTAGATTTATTCCCCTTGTGACAAGGGAAGAAAAGAGCCACATGAGGGCAAGAGCTTTCAGCTTCCACCTTAGAACTCACTTTTGCATGACTCTCACTGAGCAGCACAAATCCAATGGCCAGTGCGAGGTTAGTGGGACGCAGAAATGTGAACCTCTTAGAGGACCAGGAAATAACTGAGAATAACAGTAGGTACTACTGCAGCAAATACCCACACTCAGTATGTTCCAACCATCACATATAGAATACCATAATTTAGGAAATGGCTGCATTAGGAGTTGTGAAACCATTATTCCAGCTAAAGAAAAAAAAGGATATTTATTCATCTCTTACATGGGGAAGCTAGGGAAGGCAGGAGTAGGTAGAGGTGGGTTCTGAAGTAAGAATTATATGGCAAATACAAATTCAGATACAATATACAAACTAATAATGGTTTCCAGACTGTATTCCTACCCCATCTCACCCACCCATCTACCTAACCATCCAACTGGCCAGGGATCATCTCACTAAGTGACCTGTGGACTTCCGGGGTCTCTATTTTCTGATTTCTACCTTATTTCACCATTCAGAAGTCCTTGGTTTCTATTCCTAAGTCTTCAGGCAAAATTCCTCCAAATATCAATTTATATTGATACAAATTTCTTCATTTTTAAAAGATTTATTTACTAATTATGTATACAGTATTCTGCATGCCTGAAGTCCAGAAGAGAGTGCCAGATTTCATTACAGATGGTTCATGAGCCACCATGTGGTTGCTGGGAATTGAACTCAGGACCTCTGGAAGAGCAGTCAGTGTTCTTAACCTCTGAGCCATCTCTCCAGCCCTTTAAATTCCTTCATTTTTAATAAGACTTTATTTCAGTGCATACTAGAAATTTGGGGCTTTCAATTTGTCTTGTTAGAGCAGTAATGGCTTTTTGTTTTGTTTTTAACTTTGTCCACAGCTATTTCTATTTGGCTATTTCTCTAGCAGGAGAGCTAATAACAATAACTGTTCTCTGCTCCCAATTTTCAGTGCTTATAGCAAGGCAAGGGCCATCCCAAAGTCATGTCAGCCGGAAAACAAACTTAAATTTGACTTAGAAACAGGATTGTTTTACATGACAATCCCATTTCCCTTCTCCCATCCTCCCCTACTACCCCCCACACACACTAAAACCTTATCTGTCACATATCTTCTCTGCTCCCCCTGGATGGTGAGGCCTTCCATTTGGGTGTCATCAGAGTCTCACATTTCCTTTGGGATAGGGCCTGGGCCCACCCCTGTGTGTCTTGGCTCAGGGAGTATTCCTCTATATGGAATGGGATCCCAAAGTCCATACCTATGCTAGGGATAAGTATTGAACTTCTACAGGAGATCCCATAGATTTCTGAGGTTTCCTCACAGAAACCCATGTTCCTGGGGTCTGAATCAGTCCCATGCTAGTATTCCAGCTATCAGTCTGGGGAGCAAGAGTTCCCAGATGTTCAGGTCAGCTGTTTCTGTGGGTTTCATCAGCCTGGTCTGGACACCTGTGCTCTTCACTCATCCTTCTCTGCATCTGGGATCCAGTTGTGGGTGTCTGCTTCTACTTCCACCAGCTGCTGGATGAGGGCTATAGGATGGCAAATAAGTCAGTCATCAGTCTCATAATCAGGGGAGGGCATTTAAGGTAACCTCTCCTCGGTTGCTTAGATTGTTAGCTGGTGTCATCTTTGTAGATCTCCAGACATTTCCCTAGTGCCTGATTTCTCTGTAAACCAAAAATGTCTCCCTCTATTATGATATCTCCATTCTTGTTATCATCTGTTCTTCCCCTGACTCATATTTTGTACTGGATAGTAATATGTAACCAATGTCACTCCGTAGGCTAAAATCTGTATGTGCTGTGCCCTCATCTGATGTGTACTCTCAGCCAAGGGGAAGTTTCTTTCAAACCTCTCCCATCCACTGTACTGCAGGCTGCATCTGCCCATGTCACAGTGAACTACGCTCTAGGTCTGGGCAACCCCTGGATGCCATATTTCTTGCAATCTTCCCCAACCCTGATGTTTTTATAAGTGGTATTTAGTTCTGTCTGTGTAAGTTTTCTTGAATATAGAATGTTGTCTTTCTCCCTATATCACTGCTAATATAATGTGGAAATCAAGGGAGCATGTAGCCTGACTTTCTAGTGCTAGGAAATTGATCCAATACTGTCTCCTGGGAAGATGCAGGAAAATAGGACTTTACTCGCCGCTTCAATTCCATTCAGTTATCACTATTTAATGATACCAAACAAAATTTTTGTTATCTAAATCCTATACTTTAGGAGTTAATGGGCACCGGTGGCACAACTTGAGGGAACAGTTTCATGAACAGGTACTGACCTTAAAACTCATCAACTTGCAAACATTAAATAATGCACTGGGTGTTTGTAAAAGAAAAAATTCACACTGGCTGTCTGTCAGTGGTCTTGTATTCAGTCTGACTAAATACATTTCTACTAACATCAATGTAAAGTTACTTCGTCATTTTATCATTTAGCAATTGAATTTCTCAGATATGACAAAGAACTTCACAGTCACCAAAAGTTTAGTGGCAATCTCAAAGTATTGGTCTCAAACCTTGAGACCACTTGACACTCCCAGGGATGATGAGTTACAAGTTAAATATGTGGGATCATATCTAATCTGTGAGCACAAGCTCCTGAGCCTGAATAAAAGTCCTTCCACTCTGCTCATCTATGCACTCCAGAAGCTATTCAAGACCAGAGCTGAAGATAACCATCTCAGCATCAAGTGTCACCTGATGGTTACATTTGGCACATGTTGCCCTGTGTTAGGTTCTGAGATGTCCAACATCCCTCTGGATTCCATTCCTTACTTGGTCCTTATTTCTGGTTTGAACCATAAACCATGACTATGATGTTCGATTCTTCATCTTCCTGTTCTCCTGCTGATTAGACACTGAGAAACACTCCCGCCAACTCTGTCTCATCAAAGTATCACTCATACATAGCTTGGATAGTTTCCTCCCATGCCTGACTTGCCAGATTCTTAACCTAGTTCTTACCTATCAGTTTGTTGTGAGGTCTTAAATATATTATATAACTTTATGGGGAGAGTTCTGCCTGCCAGTGTAGTTTAAGCCGTTTGTGTGGGTTCCTATGACATTTCCTGGCCTTTCTGTCATAGGCACATCTAGACTGACAAACGTTTTCCACTGAGTGACTCAGAACAAAGGGATAACTTCACCAACTAGTGGCATCACTAAAAATGCTTCAGATGAGAAGAGACCTGAATGTGTAGCTTGTAAAATCTTACTTTTCTGATCTTTGAAGCTCTTCTTCAGGTTTCTGTATTAAACTGTTTGAATTGTTGCTTAAATGTTTGATAACTGTTAACCTATGAAACTGATCACATTTCTCTGCTTTTAGATGGTCCAATTGTGTACACAGCATATTTAAAATTGGAGCACAGTGATGAGAACATTAAATTCTGGATGGCATGTGAAACCTACAAGAAAATTGCTTCAAGGAGGGGCAGAATTTCTAGGGCAAAGAAGCTTTACAGTATCTACATTGAGCCACAGTCCCCTAGAGAGGTAACATTGATGTGACATGGCGTTGGGATAGCCCTTAGAAGACACTAATAACTCAAGCATCATTACATACCAGATATAGTCAATCCCAATATCTCCTAAAAAAATGTGTAAACTAAGAATTACTAATCTGTCGGGAGGTAATGGTGCATGCCTTTAATCCCAGAACTCAGGAAGCAGAGGAAGCAGAGGATTTCTGTAAGTTCAAAACCAGCCTAATCTACAGAGTGAGTTCCCACATAGCCAGGGCTACACAGAGAAACCCTGTCTTGGGGGAAAAAAGAATAACTAATCTTATTTTTCTGTCACAAAACCTAAGAGTTAGATAACTTAATGAACTTCGTGAATTCCCCGTGTGGAACTGTCATTAGGATTTAAAGGTGAGCTATTTAATCCAAAATCAAGAACCCATTGGTTTATATTCATTCCCAGAAAAGTTAAAAACAACCAAGGGGTCATTGGAAAAATTCTCTGGCAGCATAAACTTGAAATGCCATGAATGGGCATGAGCACTCCCCAGTGGTGTGGGCCCTGTGTGCCACAGCACTTCAGCGTAAACCAACAAACTCAGATGACGTCCATGTTGCTGTTGCCGCTGTCACTTAGGCTGCCTACCGCTGTGACTCCTGACAAAGAGACAACCAAAACTTACAATTCTTATTAAATGCAAGGGTGGAGGAAAACATATGAGATTCCTGCCATTCAGCACATCCCTCTATTATTTAATTATTCCCACAAACCCTCCTGGAAATTTTGAGTCTTCTGAGATAACCACTTCCCCCCTCTGTTTCTTCACTTCTCCTCACTTGCTTCCCATTTCAGGGCTTGTTTGGCTAACACAGCATTTGTGACTACTAAGAAAGGTAAAGTTGAAAGCAGCCACCGACTTCCTTTTCTCTTTAAAAAGAGCCCTCCAGTTCATAAACGTCCACGTTTGCAGACTACCACTAAAAAACCACAAGCATTCCCGAGATAAGCAGTGGTTTGTAGAGTTCCCGGCTGTGGACTTCATGCTTTCTTTATTGCTCTGGGATGCTAAAGGCAGATTTTTACTTCTAAAAAGAGCAAAGACTTCATTTCCTAAAAAGTCCTTTTAGATACCTAAGAAAACTGCACCCAAAACTATACTGTTACACTGAAAAGGAGGGTAGTAAGCAAAAGCATTCTATAGCAGCTATCCACAATCGATTGTGCTTACCCTAAAATTTCATTTTTCAGATTAACATCGACAGTGCAACAAGAGACGCTATCATCAAAAGCATCCGAGAACCCACTCAAACATGCTTTGAAGAGGCTCAAAAGATTGTGTATATGCACATGGAAATGGATTCTTATCCCAGATTTTTAAAGTCTGAAATGTACCAAAAACTTCTAAAAACTGTTCAGTCCAAAAGCTCCTGATTGCTACCCAAAAGTTTAAACTGAAGAGGGCATGTTGCAAGTGTCATCTTAAATTTAGACAACTATACAAAGTGAGAATGAAAGTAGAAATGAAACAGAAACCAAGCCATAAGTTGATTTCTAGTTCCCAAAGGAAATGCATTCCAAACAGAATGAGCTCGCAAATACTGTAAACACAATTTATAGCATATTTACAGAAAGGAATTAACAGAGAAGGGAAAGAAGCTAACTTTCAGCATATAAACACTATAACATTTTTACTATACTGGAAACTAATGATCTTTTAGAAATTTGGCAGTCATAGCACAGATAATTTGTTATATTTTAGCACAAGAAGTATGGAAAATATGTTCTTAAGAAACAAGTTAACTATAAAACTTTTCTAATAGGCTTCCATAATTGACCTCCTATAGCACACAGACTTCATACATGTAAAATCTTTCTGATGAGTTGTAAGCTCTTAATATGTGTGAATAAATTTTCATTTATACTTCAAATTTACTTTACTGTTGGGATATAAAATTTTGTCTTTTATTTGGGGAATAATTTCTTCACAATATAAACTCATCATAGTGTTGGAAGTCAAATCAAAACTAAAAGGTTATGTGCATATTTTTTGAAGATGCCTTATTGTACCTTACAATACAAACTTCAGATGGCCTAAAGTTTGCAGAGTAAGCAAATAAAATAAAGGGAAGTTTAACTTGTTTGTTGTCACCTTATTGTTATTTTAAAATGTTAGAATGGAGACTCAGCTTTCAGATTTGGAGTTCTGGGGGTTCAACAAAACATACACAGATACAAAATTTGAATCTACCATAAGATCCAGCAATTCCACTCTTAGGCATATACCCAAAAGATGTACATTCATACAAAAAGGACATCTGTTCAACCATGTTCATAGAAGCACTATTTGTAATAGCCAAAAACTGGAAGCAACCTAGATGCCTCTCAACTGAAGAATGGATGGAGAAAATGTGGTACATTTACACAATGAAGTACTGTTCATCAGGGGAAAAAAAAACAATGAAATCTTGAAATTCGCAGGCAAATGGATGGAACTAGAAGAAACCATCCAGAGTGAGGTAACCCAGTCGCAATAAGACAAAAATGGTATGTACTCACTCATATATGGATTTTAGTTCTAGAGCAAAGAAGAAGCAGACTACACACAACACAGACAGGGAAGCTAGGAACCAAGGAGGACCCTAAGAGAGACATACATGGTCCCCTGGAGAAGGGGAAAAGGACAAGATCTACTAAGATAATGGGGAGCCTGGGGGAGGGGAGAGGGAGTTAGATGAACTGTTACCTTTTATACTTAAAAAAAAGTCAAGTTTTGTGTCGCTGATAGACAGGAAACATTGACACTGACTCTCATCTTATCCCAGAATCACTTTTCAATACTCAAATTTTGTTTGACAGAGCATCTTAAAATAGATTTTACCCCTCTGAAGAAACCAAGCTTCCTGTCTTCCCAGTGACTTCCTCATTCTCCTACTACCATGGTCCTTACGCCCTGGGCTAGCGTATTTTATTGTACGAAAAAAGTTTGTCAGCCTCCATGGTTCACAAGGTCCCAAGCATTTTAACTACTGCTCTCCATGTTTAAAGGGGCAGCATGAGTAACTATGCAGCCAACCTTAGTATACTGAGGTGTGGAAAAATGCTAAGTCACTAAACCACCTGCCTCCAGCTCCAGAGAAACCAAACAAGTGACTAAGTGGAGAGCCAGTGCAATAGAGTGGGGAAATGGCTACTTCAACTCCACATAAAGCCATGGAAAGAGTACTAAATTCATTATTAGAAATGCAAATTTCACTTTGGATTCCTAAAACTGACTATTATATGAATTTATTTGGATCTAGGTACACTATAGAAAGATAGAGAAAAAAATCACAATCTCTCTGCTTTTCAGTTTCCTTATCTTTTTATTTATTTCACATTTTATTTACTTCGAGAAGGGGCACATATATGCAACAATGCATTGCAGAGGCCAGAGGACAACTTGTAGGAGTCATTTCTCTGTTTCTACTTTGTGGGTCTCAGGAATCCATATCAGGTCATCGGGCTTAATGGCATGCACCTTTCTTCATTAAGTCATCTCATAGGACCAAGTTTCACTTTCTATGTCATCTCTGTACTTTCTGAATCTTCCTAAGTCAACCACCAGGGCCTTCAACTCACTCTGTAACCAAGGCAAACCTTAAACTTGTAGTCTTCCTGCCTCAGTCTTCAAATTAATTTAGACTATAAGCCTATACCACCAAGACCAGTACTTCAGTACTTGCAAATTAATATTTTTCTCCATTTAGGATGATGGTGGCCATAGGCTTATTACATATAGCCTTTTTGTGTTTAAATACATTCCCTCCCAATGCTGTTTTCTCTAAAGCTTCATTGTGAAGGCATGTTGGATTTACTTGCTCAGCCATGTTTATTTGTGCTCTGTTCACAATCTAAATGCCCTTCAACAGATAGATGGGTAATGAAGATATGGTGCATGACCACAATGGCGTTCTATCCAGCTGTAACAAAATAAAATTGTGAAATTCGTAGGTACATGGGTGAAATTAGAAAATATTACACTGAGTGAAGTAACTCACGCCCAGAAAGACAAATGTTTCATATTTGTGAATGCTAGCTCTGAATCTTTAGATGTGAGTGTCTAACCTGGAGGGACCACAGAAACCAGGAAAATAAAAAGGGAGCATCGATGCAGGGCTGAGAAGGAGCTCTAGAGAGGTCAAGAAAGAGAGTATAATAGGACATAAGTACTGTACAGGAGGATGAGAAAAATGGGAGGCAGAAGGAAAGGCACTACTGAGGAGGGGGAGGGAGGAGAGATGATAAAGAATACTAAGAGTGGTTGAAAATGTTTACTTAAGTATGCATATATAATAATATATGTGTGCATGTATATATATACATAATTTTCTTCCATTCATTTATTTAGTTCATAAATAAAGTCATGCACAATTATGATACAGAATACCGTATGTTCACAATGGCATGGCTAAATGAAACCAATTAACATGTTATATCACACATATTCATCATTTTTCATTTTTTGAGAACACCTAAAGTATACTATCTCACAACTTTTAAAATATAGTATATTGTTATCAACCATATTTATAATGCTCTCAGTAGACCTCAAGACTTCAGAGAGTCCATGCCTCTTGTCCAACTGCAGTTTTATATCCAATTGTTTCCCCATTGTTAAAAGTCCCACATTGAAGCCTA